GCAGGCGGGTGGCGGGGCCTGGTACGGTGTCTCGCGCTCCCAGGTCATTCTGACGCAGGTGGTCCCGGGGCCGAGCGGCCTCCTCTTTCCTTAGTTTCAGGAGAAGGTGCAGCTGCCGATGGGTCCTCGTTGGGCAGAGAACAGGCCCCAGACACTTTCAGGGAAGGAGGCGGGCGCAGTCTGGACCAGTGGGCATGTGTCTGTCCTTGGTGATGAAAGGTCGCTCTGCATCTTCGAAGATGTCAGATGACTGTTCTCTGAGCACCAACCTGAACCCTCTGTTGACTCAAAACGCTCAACTGATAATTTCACAAACATCCATAAATAGGGGAGCAGCAATGACCCGCATGATGGCTTTCTTCACCGCTGAGCTGATTTTAAATTTTCCACATAGAAACTCCCCGCGTTTTAGAGGTCATTGAGCCGACCTCTCACCCACTCCAGGAATCCCTTTTCAAACCTCGCCAACCAGGATCCATGGGAGGAAATGCATCTTACACGCTGGCCTGGCACACCCTCCACATGCAAGTGTCTTCACAGAAACAAACGTGAACTGACATCAACTCTTACTATGTGATAAGCAGGGGATGATCTATTAAATAAAATTTTATTTTTTAAAATGCTGGTGGATATACTATTTTTACCCACTTCTGAAAATTCTCTTAAGAAAGGTTAAAAAACATTGCTGGGTGGGACTCATGAGTGGGTTGCCACTGCAGTTTGAAAAGCCCTGCTCTCAAATACATGCACCTGCAAGGCCGCTGCCCTGGCTCAGCCTGGCTCCTGCTAGTTCCAGGCGTGGCCCGAGAGCCAGTGTCACGGCCAGGAGTCTCGTGCTTCCTCATGTGCGAAACAGAGGATGCTGGGGCCTTGCAGTGTTGCAGAGAAAACCACCAATTATATATGGAAAGCCAGGCCCTTAGCAGGCCCACAATAAATGGTAGCTATTTGTTTTTTAATTAGTACTGATTGTGAATCTTGGAAAACTAATAAAGGCTTCCAGGCAACTAAGTTCCAGTTCAATCATCACAGATAAGCCCACAAATGCACAAACATACCTCAGATGACAGGAGTCTGGGATCTGATATCCCAGAACCCTCCTCACGGCACCCCTCACCCCCCAGTCCTGGCTGTGACCTCCCCCTGCCTCCTGCAGTGGCCTTCAGCTGCAGGCAGGCTCAGCTGATCCCCATGCCCGACTCCTGGGAGCCATGGGCAGCAGGCTCGCAGGGCTCCACGGAGAAGCTGCTCTGAACAAGGGCTCTGGAACGTGTGGGCTGACGCTGCCTGCATGGGGTCCACTCACAGGGCTGGTTAGACACGCGGACCTCCGGGGCCGCCTTCAAGCCCGAGAATCCTAATCGCCAGGCCCAGGGCCTGGACCTGCATTTTAACAAGCTCCTGCCTGGCTTTCTTAGGCACGCCGAGTCCGCTGACTACATCTTCGAGGTGGCTCCCAGCTCCTGGTGTGACTTCAGGGACGCAGAGGTGAGGCCTAGAGTCAATCTCCCTGCCAGGAAACAGCCGGGCGAGCTGTCGTCATGGGCGGAGAAAGGCAGAGGCCCCCTCTGAGGCTGAGACGGGGTGCTTCCATTTACTGAGCTGTCAGTGCGGGTGGAGCTGGCTGCCCCAACCCAGGAAGTGTGAGCGGTCGGTTGTCAAAACAGCCATTGTTGAACATTAACTGACATAAGCTTACAATGAAATAAGTTATATTAAAGACAATACTCAATACTGTCACTTCCTGATTATTGTACATGTTTTACTATATGCTCTTGCGGTAATTAACTCTGCGCATCCGTACGGCGGCCGTGCTAGGTAATGGGGGCCATGCCAGGTAACGGTGGGCTGCTGTGTACCCCACCCAGGCTCACATCCAGCACGCCATTTGGCAACTTGAAAAAGGCCATGGCGAGAGTACTTACACCATGGGGATCAGCCGGCACTACTCGGCGGGCTTGATTCGTTATTCTGTTGATAGACTTGAGAAAGTGGAGAAAATGCTAATTATGCAGGTTAAACTTAACAGTGTGTTGTGTCTGTAGCTGTAGCATCGCAAAAAAGCACAAACAATGGAGGGAATGTTCTTCCAGTAGTTAAAGTATTATTGGATGGAGGAAAGTCGGTCCCATCGCTGAAGGAGTGAAGTTTGGACATAAATCTTCATGGTTTCACTACTCTTTAACATAAATGAAAACATCACACAACATTTTTTGGAACTATCCTCATTTGTCAATTGCAACCATAAGTTGGCTACTGAGTTTGGCAAAAATCACAGACATTTGGTGAGAATCACTTGGCTACCTGGAATGTAGAGTACCATTATTTTACCTGTAAAAATGTGCTCTGTTGCTTTTATTTCAGCATCGCTACTGAGCTGATGCATGGGTGCATTTGCACACGTTTCCCCTGGAGGGGTGACTGTTAAACATTGACTGGCACACGGCTGCTCTCAGCACATACGAAATGAAGGAACGCCAAAACACGGTGCAGCTTTAAAGCTAATGGGCACAGTCTCCTTCCAGTCCTGTCGTTGTCTCTCTGCATAAACCCAGTTGGAAATAATCCCAAAAGTTGAAACTCGGGCCCTCTGTGTGAATGGCAGGCCGGTCCTGCCTGCAGCCCCCCAGGCACCCGGTGGGGTCGGGGCTCTGAGCCCGGGGCCAGCAGGACCCGTTGCAGATTCCACACCCAGATGTGCGCGGCGGGGGGCTGTCGCCCACTGCGGACGTGCACAAGCCTCTCTGGGACTGGTTTTTACTTGTTTTCTGACACCCCTTTGTGAAACGATCCGTTTCCTCAGGGGATGGGTGGCCTCAGTGAGGAGGCTGTGGTGACCAGGACTCAGGCCCTGGATGTGGCTGGACTCCACCGGTCTGTTGCCGCAGGGCTGTCTTTCTAACCTGTAGGTAACGTGCTTTTCAAGAATGTGGTGGCAACCAGCAAATTTCACAGGAGAGAGAATGCCCTAGTCCTCCCCCTTATTGTAGATGGGAAGACCCAAGCCCAGAGGGCAAGAATCTGCTCCAAACCGCACAGAAGTCAACGCCAGAGCCCAGGACCCGCGCCTGCTGGCAGACTGTGGCTTCCACCACAGCCCCTCTCCCTTTTGCCCCCACTCCTGGCCAACTAGTGCCCAGCAAACGGAAGGCTGGGGAGGGGTCCCTCCAGGCCTCTGGGCAGAGCTGCCTCCCTGCCCTCAGCTCTGGCTCAGCGCTTTACCTGCTCCTATCACCACCGCATCGTACTCAGGCTTCAGGCGCCCCGGGGCTTCCCAGTGAGCTCGCCTCCACGCAGGACAGGGCCAGGCACTCACAGTCCTGCGGAGACCTCGGCCACTTGCAGCCATTTCTGCTCAGCACTGGCCAGTAATTTGCTTGCCATCAGCGTTTGTGCCTCCTCAAGGGGCGGGGGAGCAGGGAAAAGCGGGAAGAGAGGAGGAGCTGCAGGCCTGTTGCCACACCTGGCCTGGGGCCAGGCCTAAACCGAGAACGCTGAGCTGCACACGCCCCTCCCCCACCGAGTCCGCCCAGGGCAGAGCTGCAGAACTATAACCCGCAGAACTCCTGCGGCCTTCGGAGTACTCTCTGTGCTGGCAATTCTCGAGGGCCCCCATGAGCCAGGCGCTGTGCTGCCCAGTCCTGAAGCCCGTCCCATAAGCCCCAGCACTCCCATTCTACAGCTGAGGGCACTGAGGCTCGGAGAAGGGTGTGTGAGAGCAGTGAGGGGCTCTGTGCTGTCCTGCTTCTCAGGAAGAAATGAAATGCCCGGGAGGTGCTGGGGTGGGAAATCTGAGCCTCAGGTTTGACTGTCTCTCGCTCCCTGACCTGCCGGCCTGTAGGGTGGTGAACCCCTTGGGGAGCCGCTGGCCCAGCACCCCCTAGCATGGCCTTGCTCTCGGCCTGGGCAAAGCTGCAGGGAGGGCCGCACCTGCGCTGGGCAGCAGGGCGCCTTCTCCTCCAAGCACTTACGTGGCTGCGCAGGGGCCTGAGGGCCCGGGGCCAGCTCACTGGTCTGTAATTCTCGGGGCTCACCTTTTCCTTTTGAAGGCCTGGACATCTCGTCTTCTGGCAGCTTTCCCAAGAATCCTCAGGGATTGAAGGCCACATCTCTAAGGATCTTCGGCTAAAGCGCCTGATTACTACCCTCTGGCCTGTCTTGAATTAGGAGCCCCTTGGTCCCTGGCCCCTTAGTAAGCGGGCTGAGCCCCTTGTAGGAAGCACCACCCCAGCAGCCGGGAGTGTGCACTGCTCCGACAGGTTCCAGTCACCCCATGTCAGCCTCCCCTCACCATTGGGAGGGCGTGTGGAGAGTGCTCCCAGCTGGCGTATTCCGGGGACCCTTCTCCTCACAGAGCCCCTCACAGGCATAGCCCCTGCACCCCCTTCGAGGCTCTGCGGAAACCCCTCAGGATGCCCCCGCTGCTAATGTCGGGGGGGGGGGTAGGTTAGACTATGTCACAGCACACAGCAGCTGAAATTTAAGGGGAATATTAGGCGACGAAAGTGGGGGCCCTAAAGTCACGGGGCGGGGGTGAGGGGGCCTTCCAGACTTAGTCTCCCCTTTGTGCTGGCCGTATTTTCCAGGGGATGTTTTAAATGTCCCTCATGAAGGCATATGAGGGAGGACTGCAGTCCATTCCCTGGCTGTCCCTGCCTGCCCGCTTCCAAGCACTTGGGCCTGGGTGTGGCTCTAGTTCAGTGGTTCTCAACCTGTGGGTCGCGACCCCTTTGGGGATCAAATGGCCCTTTCACAGGGGTCGCCTAAGACCATCGGAAAACACAATTACATATTGTTTTTGTGATTAATCACTATGCTTTAATTATGTTCAATTTGTAACAATGAAAATACACCCTGCATATCAGATATTTACATGACGATTCATAACAGTAGCAACATTACAGTTATGAAGTAGCAACGAAAATAATTTTATGGTTGGGGGTCACCACAGCATGAGGAACTGTATTAAAGGATCGCAGCACGAGGAAGGTTGAGAACCACTGCACTAGTTCCTTTAGCACCTGTGCCCCCAGGCTGCTCCCTACAGGAAAGAGCAGTCGTAGGCACGAGTTGTGGCTCCCGACTGCAGACTCAGGAGGGGGCTGTGGTCTGCCACCATGCAGGAACCCACTGTGCTGCTGCGCTGCGGGGCACTGACCTCTGTGGTCCTCCCCAGGCCCAGCGTGCCAACGGTCTGTCCCGCGTCCCCCCTGGGGTGGGAGCTTCTGGGTTGGAGGCTGCTCCCCGGGCCGTTGGTTCTCAAACCCAGGCACACCAGGATCACCTGGGCGCCCTGACAAGCCTCCACGCCTGGGATCCCTGGATCTCTGGGTGGGGCCAGGGCAGGAGCCAGGAGCCCTGTGGGCACCCAGAGGCCAGGACCTGCCAGGGTTTCTAGGCACCAAGAAGGCCCAGGGGCCCAGGCGCTTTAGCTTGGACAGGACCAATAACCATGACCAGCATTTATTGAGGCTCCTCTCGTGCCCAGCAGCCCTTACAGATACCCTGACAGGGTGCTGTCGGCCCTCAGGTGGGGGGCCTGCTCAGAGCTGCCGAGAGGAAGTGGCAGGGTTAGAACTCGACCCCAGCCGAGAGCACCTTTCATCTGGGGGTGGGGGAAGGGCTTCCCCAAGGAGCTCTCCTGCCTCGGACAAAGGCAGAGGATAGGGTCTTCAGACACCTGTCTCCTGGGATACAGCAGGCAGCTCCGACCTGGCAGCCACTGCTGTTTTAGAGACAACGGAACCTCCTGGCCGCCCTCCTCCTGCAGACAGAAGCTTCTGGGGGTTTGGTCACTGCCTGGCCTGAGGCTGCTTTGGGTGAGGTTTTTAAAAGAAATACTGGGGTGGGGTGGGGAGAAGGGAACAGAAGAAAAACAAAAGAAACAAAATAAATCCTGGAGCTGCCTGGGCCTGTCCGTCCTCAGGTGGCTGCCGCCAGGAGGCTCGTAGCAGGGATGTCTGAGGTGGGGCTGGGGGTGGAGAGCCAGGTGCACTGCCCACGGCCTAGAGCAGGGGGACCCGGGAGGACTCCCACAGGCGCTGGGCCAGCTCGCCCGCCTGCTGCACCAGCACATCTATGGGGATGACTGACAGGTGGAGGGCCAGCAGCTCATGACACCTGACGACCTCGGCCGGGTGGTCCTTGCTGTAGTAGCGCAGGAGCTTCCTACGGGAGGGAGACGGGGGACAGGATTCAGAAGCAACCACGGCACTCCCTCCCGGAGCCAGGGGCTCTTTGGCACCTTGCAGACAGTCCCCTCACCAGTTCCAGCACCAGGCCAGCGAGGCCTTCCCTTGCTGACCTCACCGTGCGAGGCTCGGCCCCAGTCCGCCTCGGTCCATCCCTCCAGTTCCCAGTCCTGTGTGGGGCCTGCTGACGAAGCATCCTAGCTAAGAGCCACAGAGCCAGCAGGGACGTCCTGGGACCCACGGGCAGATGTTTGCAAATGCTGCCAAAGGGTGCCAACAGCAGGATGGGCAGAAACCCACATGCTTCCCACTCACTTTCTCATTGGACGCTGGCCCCGGCTGTGAGGGCCTCTAACGAGGGTTTAGAGGTCCTTGGGGGGCATCCTGACATAGAAGCTGCTCCCCTTTGTGGGAACTGTTACTTATCACCCAACATCTGTGCACCCACGGCCCCAACAGGGTACACAAATCTGTCACCTGTAGTAGTCTCCTCCCAGCATGCCCACGGGCGCCGCGTCATCGGACAGGACAGGCACCTCGATTAGCTGGAGTTTGTGCCCCTGGGAAGGAGGAAGAAGGTCTTGCTTGGAGAGGTGGTGGGTGGTGGGAAGAACATGTGGGTCAGACACACCGGGTTCAGGGCCCGGCTCAGCCCTGCCTGGGGTGTGCTCGGTGCTGGGAAAACTGGGGACCTCTTTCTACTGTCTTCTCCTCTGTGAAGTGGGGACAATAAAAATCCCAACGAACAGCAGAGATGATGGGTGTAAAGCTCCGAGCACCATGCCTGGCACGTGGGAGCTCTCCTTCCCATCAATGCCGACCTGGGTCGCCATGCTCAGGACGGCCACTGGGAGGGTGACCCGGGAGGTGCCGGGAAGAGCAAAGCATTACCAAGAGGCCCGTCTCTCTGAAAGCACCGGGCATTCCCAGGGTCGCACCTGGAGGGGAAGGGAACCAAGGTCCTCTGGGCACCCACTGTGTGCCAGGCCCAGTCACGGCGCCTGCCCAGCACCCAGGAGGTACGCTCAGCCAGACTTCACACTGGGCCTCCCCACCCGCAGCTTTACCTCAGCCCACTGCCCCGGGGGCCAATCACGCACACCAGGCTGTGCCTTGCTCCAGAAGCTAAGGGCAAGGCCATACACACATTGGGAAGTTCCGAGACACGGAGCAAAGATGGGCGCCTACAGGTCCAAAGAGCTGAGCCTGCATCTGGCTTCATCACTATGACCTCAGTGACCAGCCGTGGTGTTGGATCTCCAGTGTGGAGAATGGGCCAATGATACCGGCCTCAACCATCCACAGGGCTGTGCAGCTGGGAGAACAGTGGTGAGAGACTCCAATAACGTCACTGAGGAAAGGGACGGGCCATCACCTCACAGTCACCTCTCGCCAAGAGCAGAGAGAGTAGGGCATGGGGACAGGGAGACAGGAGAACGGGGACCAAGGGCATGTGGGGGTAGCAAAAATGACCTTTAGAAAGCTGGAATAATGATTAACAGTGACAAATGAGGAGAAAACAAAGTGAAACAGAAAATGAAAGAGTGGGGGAGGGAGGGAGAGCAAGAGGGAAAGGGAGAGGGAGAAAGAGAGGGGGAGGGAGAGAGAAACTCGGGGTAGGAAGAGACTATTTCCTCTTTATTGTGCCTTCTCTAGATAGTCACAGATTGTGGGAACAAATGAAAAGAGATGATGGGTTTGAGTAAGGGGGAACATTCTATCTGGAGGGAGGGAGAGCAAGAGGGAAAGGGAGAGGGAGAAAGAGAGGGGGAGGGAGAGAGAGACATGGGGGCAGCAGAGACAGTAATTTCCCAGCCATGTCCATACACTGCAGTAACAGTGAGGTCTAGAGAACCAGCCAAGAGGCAAGAGATCCAAGCTATACTGTCAGCTGTACTTGGGCAGGCTGGTTAATTGCTTTGAGCCTCAGTTTATCCACCTGTACTATGGGAACAACAGTGTACCATGTTTTTTAAGAACAGTGGGTGATGCTGGGGCATCACTGAGGAAGCACATGATCTGAGCAGCCTTTCTCACACAGGGCATGCGTCCCTCTGTTCTCACAGAGGTTACCTGAAGTTACTAAATGCTGCCTTGAACAACAGCTGGGTGGAGAGACACAAAGCCGGTGGGAAAAGGGACCTCTGAGGTCCGGGTCCCAACCAGCTTTGCTTATCTGTCAGCTCCACCAGGGACACGAAGAGATGGAGAGACAGCCTGCACACCGTCCACGAGAAAGGAATGAGTGCCAGGCGAGGAAAGCTGCACCCACCATCTCGTTCTGGAACCACAGGAAGTAGGAGCAGAAGAAGTCCCCCTCCCGGAACAGCAGCGTGGTGTAGCCCTTCTGCAGGTATCTGCGCGCCCGCCGGATCAGAGACCAGACCTGGGGAGAGGAGGAGAGCACTTGCACCACCCTGACAGCGGACAGCTCGGCTGGCCCTCTCCCCACGGCAGGGGCAGAGCTCGGCTCTGGCCTCCAAGGGCAGGAAAGCACCCGGAGGAGGAGCTGCTCGAAGGCCTCTCCTGCTCTTCTCTCCCTGGAGCTCAGCAATAAATCCATGTTGGGTGGACTACCCCTCCAGTTCCCGTGACGATAAAATAGATGTAAAAGCACTTTATATAATGTCACCATACACTCCAGCTATAAATGAGTAAACTCATCATTCAGGCCAGAAACTAGCCAAAGTCAATGTTAACACAGGAGGAGATGAAGGGTGGCCGCCTGGAACCCCTCCTGCCGTCTAGGGCCGGCCCCTCCCGGGCGGGGAGCCTCTGACAGAGGTTCTAGGCCGGGAAGGTGGTAGTGAGGTGTCTGAGCACCGAGGGCACCCTGACCAGCACCTCTGCTCCAAAGGGGAGGCCCTAAGGAGGCTCACCAAGGGGTCTGACGGGAACGTGCTCTCGGACTGCGCAGCTTAGGCCCGCCACGTACTCTGGCCTCATTCAAGGACTTCCTGATGCTGCTGTGAGCTGAGGGGGGGCAGCAGGGGCAGCTTGGGGCTGGGAAAAGGCCGGATGAGCCCTCTCACTGAAAAGCTGAGCGGAAGGCACGCCGGTTCACTCCGAACCTGACCACAATGCAATGTCTAATTAAATCTGTAAACAAATGCACGGATTTGCTGTGTTTTCAGGAAAGCAACTTGACAACATGTATCAATAACCTTAAAAACATTCCTCCCACTTGACTTAGTCATTCCATTTCTGGGAATCCACGGTGCGAAAGTAATCAGAGGTGAGGACAAAGACGGATGCACACAGGTGTGTGCTGCGGAATTATTTATAGCAGCGAAAGCCTGGAAACAATCTCCATGTTCGACATCGGGGAAATGGCTAAGTAAATTATGTTACATTCCCATGATGGACTCTTGTGGAGCTGTTAAAAATCATGTTTATAAAGAATTAATGACATGAGGAAATGCACGGACATAAAAGTGAAAATGTGGTAAACACAATTGCATAGACAGAAAGCGCTCAACTACATCAACCTGCACAGGAAAACAAGGAAATTAATGTACCACGGGAGCCCAACTCTCTGGAAAGAGGGACGGAGATGGAGAAGATGATGATGGTGGTGATGATGGTACCAGTAAATACGCAATAAATTCTCTGTTGTGCTGCGTACGGTGCTAAGTACTGTGTGTGCATTTGTAATATTTGTCAACAGTGTCACTATTCTCTTTTACAAACGAGGAAACCGAACTTAGGCTAAGTAACACCCAGCCACATAGTGGGAACTGGTTTTTGGCACAGGCCTCTGACGCCCATCTGTTCTGAACCATCATGCCACACTTTATTTGGGTGCAAAAAGTGGGTGTGTCTCTGTGTGTACGTAATGTAGAAGGTGGCAGAGGTCCTCCCTTCTCCTGACTCAAAATACGAGTTTGCCATGAAGAAGAGTCAGTTAAAGAGAATGAATCCCCAGAGAATGTTCCTTAGCAGAAACCATCTAGTTTTAAGTTCTGACAGTCAAATAGGCTAAACTGTGTTTCTTCTTTGTTTTGTTTCACTGAACAAGTTCTTAATGGACACCTATTTACGCCAGGCGCTGTGGCCGGCCTGGCCACGTCTTCCCCTGACCTCCCTGCCCAGTCTCTGCTAATCCAGGACATTAGCTAACACCCAGGAGGGTGCCCCCAGCATTGATCAAGGCTGATCAGGGCCCTGGGGTGACAGAGACAAGCTGCTATGAGGTGCCTGCGGGGCTGGGCATAGATGCTGAAGAGGACGAGTAGGGGTTAAGGTGGGGCGAGCTCCAGAGCCTCGGGGGCCCTGGGAGCAGGGGGCCCATCCCTCCCGGGCAGGGCCGAGGCCAGCACGTCCTGTCTGATGGGCAGTGAAGAGTGTCCGGCTGGGCAGCAGTTACCTTGGTTCTGACAAAGGCAGCCAGGGGCCCCTTGCCCAGCTCTGACGAGGTCCTGTCACTGTGGCTGAGAGAGGGGGCCACCATCTGGCCAGTCGTGCGGTCCACGTAGATGAAGTGCACCAGGCCCGGGAAGTCCTCCAGGTAGGTTCAGGTCAGAGTCAAGGTGCTGTAAGCCAGGACCAGGGAGGCGCTTCTCTGTCCCTGACCCCGTTCCGTAGGCTAAGCAGTGGAGTCAGTCAGAGGCCAGGCCTGTCCCTCCCGCAGTGAACATTTCAGCCAACCCCTAGAACGCCCTCTCCCAGACTCTCTTTACCTCTGAACCCAAACCCCTAAAAGTTCTAAGATGCAAGTACAATGGACCCCCGACGTTGGCACATTGAACACGGGGAGCTCTGGATGCAACGGGAACATGGTATGTTCATGTTTTATGGTCTTCACGAGGGATGCATTTAAAGTATACACACGATGAGGCTGGCGGAGAGGAGAGCCGCATGGGTGATGGGTGAACCTAGCTGACTGCCACCCACACACCTCACCGTGGCTGTTCATCTCCCACCTCAAGAGGCCGGAAGGCGGGGCACAGACCCACAGAAGGGCAGTGGCTGGTGCTCTGCCATCCCTCCCACCTGCACACGGGAGAGACGCTGCAGGGGCTGGAGACCAGACCCTTTGGAGGTTTCATAGAGGCAACACTGCTTTATAGGAAGTTCCAGGGAAGACCAATGTTCAGTAAAACTAGTGGTCCGTAGTAAGAGGGTCTCATACATCTTGGACATGGTTTCTCAGACAGGGATAAACATTCTGTGCAGGCCTTCCCAGAGCTTCCTGTCCTGCTGTGAGCTGTGACCTCCAAGGAGGAGGACATGGCTCTCACACCGCCCGCCCCCAGGACCTCTGTCCCTCGAGGAATGCCCATCACCACTTTGCTGGCGGCACCACTGACATAAGTGAACGCTAAGGCTCTTAAGAAGTAACTCTGGGACACCAGGGGCTGCTGAAATTTCAGCCTTGGAGCGCTCCTGCGGACAGGCACCTGTCACTATTGACTGTTACTCAGAGAAAAGAAACTGAGGTGATGGAAGATATATTCTCCATCCCACAGCCACAGTCCTTCCGAGTGGGCAGGCGGAGGGACAGGCGGACGGACGCGCTCCCCCGGCGGCGCGGGGCTCAGACATGAGGATATGACACCATGGTGACGTTCCTCCTGCTCTTCACCAACAGGAAGTCCTTCCAGTCCATCAGCTTTTCTCTGTGGGAAAGCAGGGAGCGGGGGGCGTGGGGAGGTGTGCACCCGCCCACCCCGCCCACCCCGGGCCACTCCTACACTCACTGCATGAGCATCTGGACCTGGTCCTGCAGGTGCTGGGCTAGCTGGGGGCCTCCGTGGCTCGGAGCTGTGCTCAGGAAGCTCAGACGGTAGATGGCACAAAGCTGCCGCTTTATCTTCCCGCACAGCTGGAGCAGCCTGGGCCAGGAGATGAGAGCGTCAAGGCGGGCAGGGCCCTGGGAAAAGGCACTGTTCCCTTGGGGGCCACCTGACCCTGCACTGGCAGACGCAGCAGGGACAGCACCGCATCCCGCATCCTGCATGGTCACCAGGCACTGATGACAGGCGCGGCTGGCGAAGCGCGCCTCACCCTCGTGACCCAGGAGACAGCTTCCTTCCCAGTTCCTCCCAACACGGTGCTCCATGCGCTTAGATGCCGTTCACGGGATTGCGTCCAACTTCATGGCTTATTTCCCAATAAACGGGGGAGTGACGTGTTCGAGGCTGCACTGAAGCGGAGCTGAAGCTGGGCTGGAACCCGGGCTGTGTGTCCCTGGTGTTGGGTCCTCACGGGCCTGCCGATCTCCACTCAGACTCTAGCCGATCTGCTTCCAAACCTCCCTCCAGCGTCCGCAGCTGGATCCCCTCTCCCAGGACCCCCGTCTCCTCAAAGGCACCTTCCTGAACATGCTCTCCCTCTTGGCCTGGAGGCAACTTGCCCCTCTGTCCAAACTTGCTCCCCGCCACCCAGACCCCACAACTCACTCCTGTGATGAGGCAGGGTCACTTCTGGAGAAGGCCTTGGTCTTGAACTCCTGCCAGGTGCTCTGCGGGAGGGCAGGGGCAGGGGACTGGTCAGCGAGGCCCAGGCTCCGAGGGCATCCTCTGAAGGCTTACTTAGGCCCCGCACACACGTGCCCTCGCACAGCCAATGTGGGGTCCCGGCAGGACCCCCGCTCTCTGCACCCGCTGTGCACCATGTTCTACTCTTGGCAGGTGTTCATTTCAAAAGCACTTTCCATGTGCTGGGCCCACTGCCTGGCTGGCAGAGACACGCAAACAAATGCTGCCACTGACAGGTGAGTGACTCGAGGGGGCACTGATGCTGAGAGGAGCCTGGGCATCACCCTACAGAGGACCTGCACCCTGAGGCGGTGCCGCCGCGATGCCGGGGTCACTGAGACGCTGAGCAGCTGCCGGCTGCTCTGGCGGAGACTGTGGGTCTGAGGCTGGGCCTCCTCCAATCCTTCTGCTCATTTCAGGTCAACTGTGCGCAGCCACAGTGCTGCTCAGTTCCTCACACTGACCCAGCCTCCACCCCACTTCCTGCTGGGCTCCCCTCCCCTGTGCCCTGGTCACTGTCCCTGTCTCCAAGCCGCCGGGGGTGGGGGGGGTGTGTGGAGTGGCCCCGTGAGACCTGCCACCCTGTGAGGGCGTTGGGGGCAGACGGATGGCCTTTCCTGAGTCCTGGAGGCAGGCTCTGGCTCCCCGAGTAACCTTGGCCAAGTCGATATCTAAGTCCCACAGTTCCCTCCTCTAAAAAAATGGGAATTAGAATTCGTGTTCTGCCAAACTTACATAAACGTGTTCTGAAAATGTCAAGTGCCGTGAGTTTTTGCTACAAGTTCCTAACGGGAAACAAGGATCGCAGACCACGGTGGGGCAGAGGCGGACGAACAGGCCCGCCCTCTCCCGGAGGCAGGCGGAGGAGGACCGGGCCTCACCTGAAGCTCCTGTCTCCCGCGATGCTTGACAAACTTGTCCATCCGCTGGCGCAGGTCCCCGACGAGCGGGAGGGACCGCAGGGAGCTCCGGGCCTCCTGGCCCTCCTTCAGCCTCTTCTCCAGCAGGGAAAAGCCGTCCAGCAGCTGGTACAGGGCCAGGGCCAGCGGCGCGCTGGGGCTCTACGGGAAGAGGCGGCAGGCAAGGGGTCGGGCAGCCACGGGAGGGGTCCGGGCCCAGGGAGCGGGGGCAGGTGGGGTGCTCCTACCTTGGTCAGGAGCACCATGTGGATGCCTGGCCACAGGGGCAGGCAGTACATGGTGTGGGGCACCATGGGGCAGTAGATGTCTTTCACACTGGCATCCAGGAAAATCCGTCTGGGGCAGGCAGGCGCTGGGAAGCCGGGCATCAGCGTTTGGAGTGTGTCTTCTCCTATCTGTGGAGGAAGAGGGGCTGTGGGGGGAGGGAGGGGCCAGGCTGGCCTCCGCCCCGCCTTGGATCCACCCACAGCGGCCCATTCACCGTCCTTGCCGAGAACCACGAGGAGCCAATGTTTCAGCTCCAAGACATCCCAGCTCTCCCGTCCCTGATGTGCCCTAACAGCCCGCAGCCCCGGTTCCAACGTCTGTCTCTCTCTCAGCTCCTCTGGGCCTTTCCGCCCAGAGGCAGGGCTGGGTGCCAAGCAGGGGCGGTGGGCAGAGAAGAGATGGAGAAGGCAGGAAAAACAGACAAGGGTAGAGCGAGGGCAAGAGGCTCCCTCCCCATGTCTTCACAGAGATGAAGGCATTGAAAGTTAAGTCAGTCTGTCATTTCAACCACCCTCAGAGCGCCCACCGGGGGAAACCGAGGCACTGATGACTAAATGAGCCAGACTCCCGGCTGACAGAGGCTCTAAGAAAGCTTCAGTGGCAAAAGCAGAGAAGTGAGGAACTCGTTAGAGATGCCACCAGAACCTTCTGTGAGGGCGGCACTGCAGTCGTATGATAACAGCAAACGCGGGACACCATGTGCTGCTGCTCTGGGGGTTGCTGAGTGAGGAACAGCACACGCGATGGACTGCAGTGCCGACCACTCTGCTGGGGGTTGGGCAGCGAAGGGGAAAATGCTTAAGGCAAAAGTGTGATGAAATACATTAGGAAAAGAAAAACTATACGTGTGTGTGTGTGTGTGTGTGTGTGTGTACTGAGAGCAGTCCTTTTCCATACTTTACTTCTGTATTTCCCAATTTTTCTACAATGAATATATTTACACTTTCATCTTTAAAAAAACGTTAAAAAGTTGGACTTTCACTCTCCAGTGAGGAGTGGGGATTTCTCAGGAGTTTCCCGCCGCCCCCCGGGCTGAGCTGTCCCTGCAGCACTGACAGCCCAGAGCGGGGCAGGCCTTACTCAGAGGGGAAACCCCAGAGTCCCCGGCACTCACTGCAGCATCTAGATCAGCTGGTACCCCGGGTCATCCCCTCCCCCCAAAACTCACCTGGACCAGGGAGTCATCAGTGGGTGGGGTTCCCCCATCCATCCAGACGGTGCTACCTGCAGGCCACAGGCAATAAAATAACATAAACAATTGGAAACTATAAATAATGGCACAATAGCACACCAGGAGGGGTGGGTGGAGCAGGAGTGTCCCCGCCCCAGCTACTCACAGCACCTGGTGGGGCAAGCACTTAGTGTGGGCCAGAGCGGAGCGGCACTGCCCTCCCGTCCTATCCCAAGCCAGCAAGTGCAGGCGAGCTCTGCAACACCAGGGCCGCCCGGGAAGAGAAGCTCCCCCAGAGCCAGACGCTGGGAGCCAGTGCCTGAAGATGCCCCGGGCAGCGGGGGATGCTCCTCAGCCCCTCCTGCCCCCTTGCTTCTGCCCTCTGCCCCCTGCCCCTTCAGGCCCCTACCTGGCTGTAACAGTGCCTCGCCACTAGGAGGCAGCACACGGTCTACATGTCCCCATTTGTTTAGTCAATCAGCAAACTTTTACTGAGCACCTACTGCGTGCTGGGAGTTGAGCTACATTTCCCTTCCCAGTACAGCTCACAAAAACCTACGGAACCCACCACATATTGGAAATGTTATGTGTTTGTAATAATAGTGTTCTCTCAGAGTTTATTGCAAACGACTATCATTTATAACCATGTTTCTCTGGGGGAAGTCTGTTCCTGTGTCTCACACACATGACTGACAAATGGATGAGTGCAATCGAGCCATCTGTAAGCTGTGAGTTCTGTGCACTGTGGAATGGCATTGTTTATAGCTCTGAGGCATAAAAAACTAATGGCTGAGAGAAAGGGGCAAGGGGGAGGACCGTGATGAGTGAGGGAAGGGAAGCCAGTGAGCACCCCAAGTGGTGCTTCCCAGTGTGTTCTGGGCTCGCGGAGAAGCTCAGACGACAGCTATGGACCCTGGCCTCAGAGGAATGTGCAAGCACAAGTGACCGGGGACACGCCCTCGGGGGCCCCGGGCTCCCTGCTGCCCATCCAAGGACCTGAAGTTAAGAACGTCCGACCCAGCGGGTTTTAACTGTGGCGGCACATGAGACCTTTTAAAAATCTTGATGCTGAGGCCATGCAGTAATTTAATTAATAAACTAAATTTTTATTTTATTTCTGTTGTTTACCCACATACTTTAAAAACAGGTCAGATGCAATCTATAGAGACTGAATATTTTTATTTTAAATCACTGTGCTTGAAATCAAATGATTACTACTTAATTTTAATTACCTGGTTACTTATTAATTACAAAAAAGAAAGAGAAAGCAGAGAATACAGAGACGAGAGATGAATTTTTAAATGGAATCAACGTGTCATAAACAGTTTAGTGATCACTCGAGTGGCCTTCACAGCCCCTGAATTCAAGCTGGAGCCAGGAGGACAGACAGAGGGGTTGCTGCAGACGGTGTCCCATACTCTAGAAATCCCGGCGTCTGGGCCTGGGCCCTTACAAGGCAGGGGGTCCACTGAACCCCAAGACAGACTCCCCAGGGCTGCCACCTGGCATATTTCTCCTTCCACCCCCCTCCCCAGCCCTCCCCTCCCAGGTCTCACCTGAACCTGAACTCCGCTCCCCTGGGGAAGGGGCAGGGGTGAAGTACTCCTCAGGGAGGGAGAAGCTGTCTGTCTCCTGGGGGGAGAGGGGGCAGCTTGGGCTGAGGGCTGAACCTGGCCGCCCCTCCCCTCCCTCCCCGCAGGCACACAGCACTTACCGTCCCTGTGGAGCTCCGGGCGGGGCCGGAGGAACGAGGGCGCCAGGCCTGCTGCACGGGGATGTTCTGGCTGCTCTGCAGCCTCCGTGGGGAAGGCTGTGACAGACCCAGGAGACGCGGTTAGAGCACGTCTGACAGGCTCCTCCCCACGGTCCCCCCTCCCAGCACTTCACAGCCCAGCCACCGGGCAGAGGCACAGGTGCGACTGGCTCCACCGTGAGGCCCTGGTGTGGCCTCCCCTTCCACGGATGTTTCAGTCCTGGTGGTCTAGTCTTTCTCCAGAACCACTGACATTCCCTCACACTGACGTCCAAGCCACTGACGAGCAGGAGGATGGTGACGGTGGGGGGCACACTTACTGAGAACCCCCCGCCCCAGGCATTGCTGGGCTCTAGGAACCTGCCTCCTTTATTCCTCCAACAACCCTGAGAGGTAGATGTTATCGTGGTCCCACTGCGCAGATGAGGCCACTGAGGCTCAGAAGGGGTTAGTATCAGCCCCGCTCACATAGCTACGTGGTGAAGCAGGGACTATCTGACTCCAGAAAGCTGCACTTTTAACCACATGCATTCTAGAACTCTCCTTCTATCTGAAAGCAGCAGGAAAGGCAGGCCCAGCCACAAGCCCAGAACTGTGACTCAGGAGCCCCGGCCGCCCCAGCAGCTGCCAGCACCCCGCGGACGGGCTTTCCACGCGTCCCCATGGCGTCCCGCTGCCCAGAGGCTGCCCGAGACCTGAGTGTCGTCATCGTCGTCCTCCTCCGCAGTGCTCTCGCTGGGGTAGAGGTCATGGACCAGCAGGATGAGGGCCAGCAGGTCGGCTGGGCGTAGGGAGCTGGCACTGTGGCTACAGAGAGAACGGGCGGCTGGTCGGCACGTGCCCAGTGCCTTGAGGGGCAGTGGACGAGGACAGCCTGGGTTGTGGAGACCCGGGCATGGTCCCGACCCCCCAGGAGTTTATGACTGCTCCAGCTGATTCTCCCCTTTTGGAGAAAGGCAGGGTGTAGATAAAATTAGCTCATCAGTTTTTAAACTAAAACTTGGTTGTGTTAAAAATAATTATCAATGGGGAACCATCGGGGACCAGGAAGTCCTAAATTCTGACTCTGAGACAGTATTCCCGGGAGAAGTACTTCAGAGAGAGACTGAGCTGAAGGGGCTGAGGAATCTAAGAATCCGAGAAGCTTCATGGGGGAGACGGTTCTGGAAGTTTTTCTTGGCCGGGGAGGCGGGGACTGTCAGACGGGGTGAGCGTGGGGCCAGGGCCTCAGCTCACCTGGAGTAGAAAGCCAGCAGCTTGGAGTGCACGAGCAGGAAGGCGTGCAGGGCCTCCTCGCCGGCCCGCGCGGGGCTGGAGTTCACGGCCTGGACGACGTGCCGCTCCAGCGCCTCGATGCACAGCTCACAGAGCTGAGGGTGGATGAGCCGCTCCACGGCCTGGCCACGCGTGGGAGGAGAGGAAGCCGCGTCACCCGCCACCCTCTCCTGCTCTGGCCCTGGCTGGGGGTGCACTCCCTCAGTCCACACTGAGCACAGGCCTGGGAACAGGGAGCTCAGACCAGCACGGATCCTGCCTCACTAGAAGCTCCTGTGTTTGGGGGTCTACCTGCGCCCTCACTCGTGAGAGGGATCAAAACCCCGACCTACGGCTGCACGGCCCCGCTGACCTGACCCCCCCTGGGCCCGAGGACCGCACCCACGTCACCTCCACAGCGAAGCTCTGCTCCCGCTCGCGCAGGCGGCCGTGGGTCCGCAGCAGGCTCTGGAAGTGCTCCCACACCTGGACGCGCTGCTCCGTGTCGGGGGGCCGCAGCCTGGGGGAGAGCCGAGGGCATGAGGAAGCTGGCTGTCCCCCGCTTCAACCCCGGGGCGCAGCCCTAGATCCCGGGGCAGGACCGGCAGAGCTCCAGTGACCTGACCAAGTAACAGCAGAGCCTGCGAAGCACAGAGGGCCGTGTTGGGGCCATGCCCCCGGCGTGGAGGAGTGGCGGGCAGGAACCGGGGCCGGCGCCTAAGAAAATCGCTGGCCTTCTCGGCTCTCACACGCAGACATGACACGACCCCAGCTAGAGGCCCAGGGAAGCGCAGGAAGGAGCCAGGGTCCCGGTGTGCACACACGGCCTGGCCTCAGGAGGGTGCTGAGCAAACGCCTGGATGGACCAGCCACGAGGACTCACTCCTTCCGGATGAGCTGGCCGTCCACGGTGACCAGCCCGAAGTGCACCTCGAACAGGAACTTGAGCACACGCAGCTTCTGCCGCAGGTCCCCCTCGGTCTCCGTGCCGTCGCCGTTGATGGCGATGAACAGGCATTCTCCGAACTGTGGGCACAGCGGGCTGATGTCAGCCAGCCCCGGGGGGCTCCCTCACCTGCCCTGATCCCTGGGGACACTGAGGGGATGATCGGGTCCCAGGGAATTTTGATAAGACTGCCCATGGAGTCCAGGGAGGAGGAACATGGGCCCCAGGACCACACACTCACCAGGTGAAGGACGTAGAGGTAGCTGCCATTTTCTGTGGAGAAGCAGGTGTACGTGTCTGAGAGCTTCTCCAGCATTGTCATGGAGGAGATGATGACTGGGGCCAGGAGGGTGCTGAGCTGGTCCTCCAGGGCAGGAAGCTGCAAGAGGGAGAGAAACCTGTTTGAGTGGGCTGGCCACTGGGGACAAAGAAATGGACAGAGCCGGCCTGGCCACCAGGGTGTCCACAGCTCTAGATCTGCCTGGGAGGGTATCACGGTTCTGACGCCGAGGGAGCGGAAAGACACTGCCTCAAACCTGGGGTGTCGTTAGGAAGGCTGGGAAGGGCTGGCCACCTCACTGTGCTGTTCAGGCCCCAAAGGTGGAAGGGAACGCGAAGGGAGGAGGCCATGCTTCCACAGTGCAATGCTTGGGCATTGGATGGAGAGCTGGCCAACTCGAAGAGCATTCGCTGCATGGCGCACAGCCCATGCCCTCTGCAGCAGAAGGCCTGCTGTGGGGCCATGCAGCCTAAGGAAAAGGGTCAGAGAGTGGGCACAGACCCAGGTGCGAAGATGTTCACTACAGCATCGTTTATAGTAGCAAGCAGCTGGGGGAAAGGTAGGTGTCTAGTACCAGAGGGACATTAAGTAAGTAACAGCTCATCTACATGATGGAAGAACAGAGAGCCACTTAAAGCAGTCGAGTGTTTCAATGATGTGGAACATTCCTCCATATTGCAGTCAATGTTGCCTTTCAAAAAAAAGGTGTGGCCTGACGGGCGTGGCTCAGGGGTTGAGCATCCACCCATAAAACAGGAGGTCAGGGTTCGATTCCCTGTCAGGGCACATGCCAGGGTTGTGAACTCGATCCCTAGTAGGGGACGTGCAGGAGGCAGCGATAATTCCCTCTCATAATTGTTTCTCTCTCTCCCTTCCTCACTCTGAAATCAATAAAAATACATTTTTTAAAAAATGGTGTGAATGTTTTGTATTTTAAACTGTATAAAAAGCATTAAAAACATTAAGAAAGTCAACACTGTTAAATTTATTACTTCTGAATAAAGGGACCTGTGACTCTTCCTCCTACTTTTTCTATAGTTCTGTACCTCCTCCATTTCCACAACAAGCACACTTTTACTTTTATAAGCTCTTCCCTCACCCATCCTCTCTGCCCTCCCAACTAAGGAACAAAACGAACAAAAAAAGATGGACAAATTACTTGAGAATCTGTGAATAAAATGGGATAAGGCCAGTGGAATGGCCTCCGCTGAAACTCACAACACTGGAATGCAAGAAGGGAGGGAAATGCTGGCCTGCCCCAGCTGATTCCGGGAGATCTGACTGCGATACGGAGAGAGCAGAGTCCCGACCTGGAGCTGGTGAGATCTCCAAGGAGCTGAGGCAGCCCTTGCCTTGAGAAGCCAGAGGCCGCATGCAGCATTAACATATGAACTGGACCCAGCGTGCCATGCGGCTCCTTTTCTCCCAAAGTCTCTACATCAGGAGCCAGTGGCTGCAGAACCTGCCAGTGAAGCTTACACAGCGGCTGCTTCTCATCATTCAGGTCCCAGCTCAGACAGCCTCTCGCCTGTCTGAGAGCTCAATACTGGGAGTGACCACCCTCAGGCCCGTCATTCCCCTCTCACACCCGGTTTAAGTGCTCTGACCATTCATCACTCCCCGAACTCACGTGCTTACTTGGGTCACTGTATGGCATCCCTTTTAGCCCCTAATTACATGAGAGCAAGGTCACATTCACTGCTTTACCCCCTGAGAACAGCACACAGTAGGTTCTCTATTAATATTTGTCTGGATATTCCTCCAGATTGGCAAATGTTGAATTATTCACGTACCATCATTTTCTAGAACTATCATAAATGAATTATATCAATAGAAAAGTCGCTTAAAAATCTAGAGTGTGTACGGCAACTCATGTTAAAAGTATAGTTTTTTCTGCAGGTGTAGCAAGAACTTTTTCTGGGGCGGGGAGATAAAAATACTTGGTGTAGGCAGAGTGTGAGGGGACATTCTCATCCTAGCTGGAAGAATTATGAAGCGGTATAACATCTATGGCTTTTGAATCGATGTTTCTGTACTTAGGAATCTATCCCAAGGAAATCGTAAGATGTGGGGTAAAATTCAAGCACAAGTGCTCCCTACAGTAATAGTTACAGAAAACTAGAAGTGATAAGCAAGCCCAGTATTGAGGAAATAGTTAAATAAATGCACGCATTTATCCATACACAGGAATATGTTTCCATGAACATTTATGCTTTTGAGAATGTTTAACAAAATGGAATAAGCTTTAGATATGATGGTAAGTGAAAAAAACAGAAAACAAAACTGTAAATGTGGCATGATTCCAACTACGGTATATATAAAATCTACTGAGCGCTGTCCTATGCACAAGAAGTTGCTGGTTCAGTTCCCAGTCAGGGCACATGCCGGGGTTGCGGGCTCAATCCCCAATATCAATCATTGATATTTCTATATCTCTCTCCCTCTCCCTGCCTTTCTGAGGTCAATAAAAATGTATTAAAATAAATAAAATGTAGAGTGAAAATAATTAAGTGAAAATAATCTGAGTTTTAATAATAAAGTGTAAAATGGGATGTTCACATGCAAAAAAATAAATTTACTTTAATCTATGCCTGACACCATATTAAAAAATTCAAAATGGATCATTAGACCTAATATAAAACCTAAAACTATAAAATTTCTGGAAGAAAATACCGGGAGAACTCTTTGTGATCTTGGGTTGGGTAAAGATTAGTTAGATATGGCATCAAAAGCATGATTCATAAAAGCAAAAAGTAAAAAAAAAAAGGACAAATTGAAGTTATCAAAATTAAAAACTTCTGCTCTTTGAAAGACACTATTAGATGGATGCAAAGATAAGACACAAATTGGAAGAAAATAACTACAAAACATCTATCTCCTTGGCTTTACATCCAAAATACAGAAGAAATAATCAACCCAATAAACTGGCAATAGATTTGTACAGTTCAGTAAAGAAGATGTAAGAATGGCAAATAAGCACATGAAAAGATACTCAAAATCATTAGTCATTAAGGTAATGAAAATTAACACACAATGAGATTCTGTCATGAACAAATTATATTAATAGAAAAGTCACTTTCTATTACTGATCAGAAAGACTAAATAAGTTTACAAAGAGTGACCACAGCGGTGTCAGCAGGCTACTGAGGACATGAAGTCTCACATCCTACTAGTGGACTATTAGATGGTACCACCTCTTTAGGAAAGCTGGGCAGTCTCTTAAAAAGTTTAACATACACTGACATGATCCAGCCAGCTACCCTAGGGATTTCCACGACAAGCCAGTGAGAGCTGCTTTACGTGTAAGTCAGAACTGGAAACATCCGCATGTTGCTCCCACCAGCAGGTAAGTGGCTGACCCAGTGATGGCGAACCTATGCCACGTGTGTCAGAGGTGACACGCGAACTCATTTTTTTGGTTGATTTTTCTTTGTTAAATGGCATTTAAATATATAAAATAAATATCAAAAATAGAAGTCTTTGTTTTACTCTGGTTGCAAATATCAAAAAATTTCTATATGTGACACGGCACCAGAGTTAAGTTAGGGTTTTTCAAAATGCTGACACACCGAGCTCAAAAGGTTCACCATCACTGGTGAACCAACTGTGGCGCAGGGTGAAGACGGACCACAGCTCAGCTGTGGACGGGGATGAACTGCTGAGACACACAGTGCAAGAGGGACAGGTCTCCGTCAGGCTGCGTGAAGGAAGCCAGGCCAAACCAAAACCAAACCCAGCCGGTACCCACTCTAAGATTTCAGCATAAAGAGCTATAAATACAAACTCATCCAGCATGACAGACAGCAGATCTGTGGTTGGCCAAGTTGGGGGAGGTGGAGGAAGCTCACAAATTTGGGGGATGGTGGCCATGTCCATTTTATTGGTTGTGATGGAATTGCAGATATGTATAAAGTATATCAGATTGTACACTTTGAGTATGTTCAGGTCATAGTATGTCAATTATACCTTAATATAGCTGTTATAAAAAGTAATGTGTTGAGATTATGCTAAACTTTTTAAGTAAGGAAACTGGTGAGATCAAGTTTTTCTGTGGTGCGATTAAAATTCTACCCACCCCTGCCCTCACTTAGCCAGTCAGCCTGGGGGAAGTAGGGGGGGGAGGTGCCAAGGATGCTGGGCCACACGCCGTCTCTGGCCCCGCCCTGGAGGGTGGGCAGGTTCTCCTGCCTCCTGTCCTCCTGGTAGTTCTGTGTTGTCCCCTCCCGTCCACCCCACACTCACCTCTTCTCCCTCATACTCCGACTGCCCAAACTTCAGCCGCAGGCTCTCTTCAAACTCCTCATCTGTCCAGTAAAAGAGGACCTCTGCTCCCTCTGTGGCCACCAAGACGCACTTCATCTGCCAGGGAGAAGCAAGGTCAAGGTTGCCTCCCAGGCCCACATCCTTAAGCTTGGCCTGAGTGAAGAGGATCCTAACCCCAGCAAACATCTACTGAGCCCTTCCTGGGCCCCAGGCACCACGGCCGGGCCTCCTGCTGTTACTTCTCCACACCCTCTCACCACCTGGTAAAACAGGAACCTTCAGTTCCTTTCTTTTCATAGAGCACCATGTGGCTCAGCTGGAAGTGGCAGAGAAGGGATTCTGTCTGAGGCCACGGCTGGGCTCTTCCCTGTGTCTTCTGACCCTGGGCCTCCTGGGACCAGTCGTGAGGAAGGACCCAGCTCTCGATCTGGACACGTGTCCCCTGCACGGGGAGGCAGGCAGTCCCCGGCTCAGGGCACACAGAGCCTGTGCCGGAACGGAGAGAGGCTACGGAACCTCGCTCAGGGCAGTCCAGAGGTGTGTTTGTCCTCAAATCAAAAAACAGCCACAAAAGGCGAGCTTCGAAGCCCACCAGGATGGATTCAGCACGATTTCACTCACATGTCCTTGCTCTGGGTGGAAACAGAGGCTGCCTGACCTTGTCCACGTTCATTCTCACACCTGCTTAGCTGCCGAGTCCGCAGCCACATCCTCCAGTATCTCTGGCCCTTTCGAATCTCCTTCCCCACCACCCACACATGCACCCTCTGTGCCACACATGTTAAGGCTTAATTATGGAAAATGTGTTTTCGTATCCACCAACTGGTCGATTCTTCATTCAGAGCTCCCTGCACTGTCTTGGCCCCCCTCCCCCCCGGTGCAGCGAGACCTCGAGCCTCTCAACCCTGGAGAAGCGCGCCCAAGCCTGGTGCGGCCAGAGCTCTCAGGCGGTGCGTGCAGCTCAGAACCCCCGGGAGGAACTTCACACCTTCTCCTGTGCCTGTGTGCCACACGGACATGATCACGTTGCCCCTGTGCTAAGACATGACACAGATTAGGAAGGAAGCTCTGAATCTTCCGTGAGTGGAGGTCCAGCTTCCTCAACAGGGGCCTAGCAGTGTGAGGTCTCAGACTCCTATCTCTTTAGGATCCCCTATCTGAGCAGCTTAGTGGTACTTACTGAATTCCCTCCAAACCTCCAGTTGGTTTATCAACTCTAACGCAGAGCACCTGGCCTCAGGGTGTTTCTAGCCTATCCCCGCGGAATTGCTAAGCACCAGGCAGGGACTGCGAGAAGACGGAGAGTGAAGAGGTCACTGTGGACGAGGGAAGCTGGACCTGGAACAGGTGCCGGGACTCCCAGGCCAGCCTGATAAGGGATTGGGGCATGGTGCGCTATGGACTGATGGCTGTGGTCCACAGCAGAGAGCCCCTGTAGGCTGGTAAGGCTGGGGGAAAGGCGTGCTGGCCACAGATGGGTGAGGTCAGGTTATCGAGGCAGGTCGCCTGGTGTGGGGTCTGGAGGGCCCACTCCTTGGTGGAGGCCGGGAGAAGTGTAGCCTAGAGACACAGCAGAGCCTGATGACTGCCAGGGGCTGGGGAGAGGGCTCTGCAGAGCCTGGGAGAGCTCAGTCACTGCCTGCCTCGCTCTGTCCACCTCCCGCAGCCCCAGAGTGGGTGCTGCCTGCCTCCGGCTGCCCCAGGTATGGCGGAATCATCTACCTTGGTAAGGAGCACAGCGGAGCTTCCCGACAGTCAGCGGCTCAGAAAGGGCTGCAGTGCACAGACTCCGTGACCGGCTCATGGAAAGCAGCATAGCATTCCGGGTCCTGAAAATGCTTAAAACAGAGAGGTCAGGAGGGCAAGCAGTTCGGACTGTGCCAGCTCCTGGGAGTGGACAAGGTGGCGAAGGACCGACTGCGTGGCCACAGCTCTTGCTCTGGCTCGGAGGCAGTCTGCTCAGCACGTTTTCCCCACAGCCAGGTGTCTGAGTGCCCTGTACCCCTCCACCCCTACCCATGAACAACTGAAACAGGACATAGCAGGTGCCCCACAAACACGAATTCCCACCTACTGTTTCCCTCCAAGCACTCTCACTTCCCTGTGGGTCATGCAGAGCCACGGTGTGGTCAGCAAACCCACTCTAGTCCCAGGAAAAAGGAACCTGACCCCTGGTTCTAGTTTTGGCTTTGCCAAGGCCCTTAAACCTCCCTGAGCCTCAGACTCGGCTGGGAAAGGGAGAAATCCCCGCTGCACTTGTCTACGAGGTTATAGCGAGAAGTCGGGGTCACCTGGCAGGAGGGCCCTGACACAGAGGTGTGTGGGGAAGGGGTCTTTATTCTTATTTCCCAGGTGCCCTTCATCAAACAACGGGGTGAACTAAACTGGCTGTAGGTCCTTCATATTCTGATGATAAAAGGCGGGAGTAATAGAAAGCTTTAGCTCAATTAGGATGAGGCGGGGAAGGGCTTTTAGGGCTCAGCATTTTTCGCTACAGAACTGAGCCTCGCTACAGGACCGGGTGCCTGGGCTTAAGGCCACATTCCCAGGAAAATGGGAGTGTTTCCTAGGGAACATTGGGTTCTACTTTTGTTATTCCAAACGGCTGGTCGGAGGCCCTGTTCTCTCTCCCCTGCGCTCAGGAGGGAACTCGGGACTCCGTGGAGCTCTGCCGGC